ACGTTATACTTTTGAGAAACACTCCTTCAACCAGCAGCATGCCCGCTAAAATTTTGCGAAGGCTCTCTGTGGAGCATTTTCAAAAAATCATAATTAATTTTTCTTGCAAGCGATTTTAAATATTTTACCGTTAATCGAAAGAAAAACCATGAAATAAAATTATCTGCAAGTTTTATTGTATTTGAGTGAAAGCGTAATTTTTCAGCTCCTTCAGCGCAACGCCTAAATTTGACTCGAAACAGAACGGTTTTCACGATTTTGGACCGTACTCGGAAATCGACGCCAGAAATATTGAAAAATAGCACTTTAAGCCAAATTATTGCTATTTTTGTTTATCATATGGACTGACTGTCTCACACAGAAAATTTGAAGAAATTCTGTTTCCAGCCGAAAATCAAGTGGTCGGTTCTTACACGGACAGCCTCTTAACTTTGTGGGACTTATTTCAAGAGGGCCTATCTGGGGCAAACTCCTCGCCAGAGTCCGCGCCGCTACGGGAAAGCGGTGACCTCACGCTCTAACGCCCTAACGTCTGATTCTTCATGCTGACCTAACTGAAGAATCCTGGCCTTTGGGAAGGGGATTCCAATTTCGGGGGCTTATGATCTAATTTTGCGGTATTCTTTTGATTCACTAGGTTTAACAGTTAAAAAATCAGTTGAAGCATTCTCACTTGGACAATTAAAAAGGAATGAAGATTCAAGAACTAGAAAACAACACTTAATAGAGTCATGCACCAAGCCCTGGCAATATAGTTGATGAGAAATTGACATGAGAGATGAGTAATTGAGGGGTTCCTAAAGAGGAAAAGTTTGCAGTGGAGTGCAAGAAACAGCTTAGGACCAAGCAAGACGACACAGTTGACAGAAGTCCCTGAAGAACAATAAGAAGACGATTTCGCATTTTTACGCAAAAGGTGACAGAGATGGGACATCTTTTGACTAACCCGCTAAGACAGTTACTAGGAGACAGCGAAACAGATAACACGACTCTGAAGTATCGAGTTAGTAGCCTGCGAAAACAGTTAATCACTGCGAAGAAAAAAATGGTAGAATACCAAACGGAAGTGTTTGACTTGCAGCGACAACTAGAACGAAGCAGCACAGATAAGGAAACTTCAAAGAAGCAGTTAACAGAGGAACGAGGACGAGTGATCGACTTAGAAAGACAGTTAAGCACGACAAAGCAACAACTGGTAAGGAGTCAAACGGAATTAATCGATCTGCAAAGACAACTACCAGTAAGAGAGCAAGAAGTCACTGATCTGCAAAGGCAATTGAGTAATTTGCAAGAACAGTTGGAAGAAAACAGCACAAATATGACACAGGTGGAGGAGCAATTTAGATTGGCGCTTCAACGAGATGCAGACAGACTGAACCAACTGACTGATTTGAAAGAACAATTACGCGAACGGAACAGAGCCAGAGCAACCTTAAAGGAACAGGTACGAGAGGAAAAACATCGAGTTATTAGCCTGCAAAGACAGTTAAGCACAACAAAGCAAGAACTGGTAACGACACAGACGCAATTGTCCAACTTGCAAGGGCAGTTACAAAGAAAGGAGGCAGATATGGCAAACATAGAGGAACAATTACGACGAGAACAAGAACGAGATATTTACCTACAAAGTCAATTAAGCGCAAGACAGGAACAACTGGTGGAAAAAGAGAGGCAATTAGCTGAGTTGCAAAGACAACTAACAGTGATGAACCAGCAAGTCACTTACCTGGAAAGACATCTGACAGTGACATACCAACAGGCTGCTGATCTGCATGGACAACTGGTAGCGAGAAACAAGCAAGTCATTGATCTTCAACGACATGCAACAGCGAGAGACGAACAAGTTTCTGCCCTGCAAGGACACCTGGCATCAAGCAACCAACAAGTTATTGATCTGCAAGGTCAAGTTACACAGAGAGACCAACAAATTAGTGATCTGCAAGAGCAAGTGAGGCAAACGGACGAACAAGTTACCGATCTACAAATACGACTCACAGCGAGCAATGAACAAGCTACTCATCTGCAAGAACAAGTAACAGCAGAGGACCGGGAAGCTACTGATTTGCAAAGGCAAGAGACCGCGAGACAAGAGCATGTTACTGATCTGGAAGGACAACTGGCAGCGAGCAACGAACACGTTACTGATCCGGAAGGAAAACCTATAGCGAGCAACGGACAAGTTACTGATCTGCAAAAAAAAGTGGTGGCAAGCGACCAAGAACAGGACACAGACCAACAGATTAAAGATGTTCAAGGACAAGTGGCAGTGAGTA